GAGGGATATTATGCATCATGTAGTCGGCTACTTAAAACTTACCCACAGCACCTAGCATAGAATTTGAGGTATAATTGTTGCTCATTAAATACTTACAGAATGAATGAATGAACACATTTTGGGCCTATTAATTGTTAAATACATTTTTGGTTTAACTGTAAAAATCTCTTAATTCAGATAGACACAAAATAAAGTGACAACCCACTTTGACAACTCATAGCAATCACCATATTTGGCACAATCATTTGGTCACCTGAACAAATCAGTAAAGCATGTATAAAATTTTGAGTATGATAGAATCTGCAATTTCATCCTTCCAGGCTAATGTTTTGCATTGATTTCTAAAATATAATCTCTATTCTGGCAGTCACTATGTGGGTAGCATGTTAAGTGTTTCTGTTAGTTTTTTTTTAAAAATTATTTCATTTTAAATAAATACAAGAACAGTGACCTTAATTTAAAAAAAAAAAAAAAAGAGTAGGCTAGTGAATTTAACCAAGGTCAGGCCCCTTATCAATAATAGAACTGGAACCCTGTTTTCTGATTCCTAGCAAGGGGCTCTTAATAATACATTCCAGTTACTTCCTGAGCAATATACCATTGCTTCTCTTCCATTTAAATGCTGTTTCTAAATGGTTGGTAACTCCAGAAAGAATGAGGTAGATAGAGTATGACTATACATTTCTAGCAGGAAATCAGGCAGCCTTAGGGCTCTGCCTATTTTTAGTTGGAAGAAAACTTTTCTTCTCTGACAGCTGGCCATAAATAGACACTGGTAAAGATGGAACTCTTAAAATAGTCAAGACTTCAATTGTGACACATAGGCCAATAAGAAATGAAAACCATATTCAGAAATGTTGCTTGATCTGAATTATCAACACATGAATTCAGTAAAAATCATGTGACAGTAGGCTTCAAAAAATAAAGAGTTTGAGTATGTTCTCCATTATTTGTAGAAAGGAAAAGTTCTGGAAACAGAGAAGACAGATTGGGCATTAGGTCTAAGCTTTACATCAGCTATAAGCTGTATGCTGTCTTGATTCATGTAAAACTGGAAGAAATTTTCAAAAAATATATATTGCCACCATTTTTTTAAGAAGTAAGCCATAGAGTAAGGTTACTTTGGATAGATTTCTTTAGAATTCTTTCAATTGTTTCTAGATAGATAGCTACGCTTTATTGGAAGCAATATAGTGACAATGAAATTTCAAAGTAGACAGGATGCTATAGAAGTTTTAAAAGAGACTAAAAACATGCGTTTCCCCATATAGATATTTCCAAGGTCAAGAACTAAAAACTGCTCCTACTTGAAGTCATTTAAGCTGTTTTCTGTATCTAACTCTTTTAATCTTCCTATGTATACAGTTATATTATGCTTTAACAAAAGTATGAAAGGATAGGAATTATGTATATTATTTAAATATAATATTCAAGCTGATGTGGCATTAAAAAGTATGTACTAAGATTCATTATTCTGTGTTTGAGTTTGTGATCTGGTCCTATAAAATTTGGAAAATGGACTAGGTCTCTGTCTCCTAGGATAATTAATTTCATTAGTTTTGGAAATTTTGGCTAACCCTTTGGTACACACATAATATATACACACATGTGTGAGCACACTCAATGTTCAAATGTATACACAGGCTATAAGTCAAATAACTTTTATTCATATATTGCAAATGTTACAAGAAATAGTGTGTGGCATTAGATACTCTTTTAATATTCTCCTCACCAAATTATTCTTGCACTGTGTGTGCTATTTACAAGCTGAATGCAGTTACTTTGCTAAGACCTGGGATTTGTCCTGGCATCACTGATTTGAGAAGGAGAAAAGATCATGGGGAAAAGATTCAGTTACCCTCTAATGGCTCAGATCAAACCTATAGAAGAAAAAAATCAAGCCTAGACCTGACTGGGCTTGAAGAGACCACTTTGTTCTCTGTTGTCTTTTAGGAAGATGTGATGCTTCTAATCCATTTTACATATAGAGACCTAACAAGGACATGTGACTTACTCCAAATTATGGTACAATTAGGACTGAATAGAGGCTGAGCTATGTCTTCATTGTACCATACCACCTCTACAGTAGTAAATAGTTATGCCCTTTCTTTCCTTCCTCCCTTCTTTCTTTCCTTTTTTTTTTTTTTTTTTTTTAGTATTTTTCTATTGGAGTATAATTGCTTTCCTGTGTTGTGTTAGTTTCTTCAGTACAGCAATATGCATGTGAATCAGTCATAAGTAAACATATATCCCCTTCCTCTTGAACCTCCCTCTCACCCCCACATTCCACCCAAACTAGGCTCCCAGTGTGATGCAGCAGCTTTCCACTACTTACCTATTTTACACATGGTAGTGTATCTATGTCACTGCTACTCTCTGAATTCATCCCCCCCTTCTTCCCCTGCAGTGTCCACAAGTCCATTCTCTATGTCTGCATCTCCACTTTTTCCCTGTAAGTAGGCTCATCTGTACCATCTGTACCAATTTTTGATAGATTCCACATGTATGCATTAATATATGATGTTCATTTTTCTTTTTCTGACTTCATTCTAATTTTTATCTGCAGCCTGTTTGAAAATCCCCGTGATAAGACTACAGAAAGGCCATCAAGTCAACACAAATAGAAGCATAGGTGCTGCATTTCTCAGTAAGCTATATTAAGTCCTGGTCTTAATGAAACCAGTCCTCTCAGAAGACAATAGAAGCAAGGACAGGATAGGAAGCCTGCAGAGACCAAAGTCTCACAGAGCTGGCTGTGTGTGACCTTTGCAAAATACTGCTTAAGGTCATCTATATCTGGCAGAGATATATATCTGTAATTGTTGTACTCTACTAGGGCTTGATTTTTTTCAACTTATTAGGATGCATATTCAGAAGATAATTTTGTTTGTTTTCTTTTGTTGAAACATGTAATGAAATTCTAAAGCAGTGAGTGAATAGAATCATGAAAGATGGGTCTGTACATAAAATTCACATGGACCATTCTTTTAATACCAGTAAGACAAAATGAATCTGACGTAACTATTAGTAACTGTTCTGGGACCAAAAAGTTCCCAAATTCACCCTCTATACAAATAAAACATAAATATGAAAAGCTGTTTTAAAAAGCAGTTTCCCTTGTACCCTACAAAGCTTTCTTTCTCTCTCATTTTCTTACCTTCATCCAAATCTTCTCCCTTTTTTTATCTCTTCCCAACATACTTACTTGCATTCAGATCTTTAAAGGTTATGGAGGGTAAACAGTAGTCATTCTTGTTCTTTAGGTGAAAACTTACAGTCACTTTAGTAAATGAAGCAGAGCTAATCAATTTATCCCAGTGCTCAGTACAGAGCCTGTGTTTGAGGCTATGGGATTCTCTTGAGTTTTCCCGTTCTTATAGCAGTGCATTTAAACCTTGATTAGGATTGAGGAGTGAAAGAGAAAACATTTAACATCCAGATCTGTTGGGAGTGCTTGTAGCAGTCTCCTAGGTAGTTAGAAGGGGAGGAGACCAACTGGGCCGGCACCAGGTTTCCTTCCATCTTTTTCACCTTTCTTTTCAAAGCATCTGTTCTTATGTGTTGAGGCATTTCTTCCCAGAATAGCCATTCTGTGAAGCTGGTACTGCCTCACATATTCATCCTTTTGGAAACATTCATTCATTCTGCAGATATTTACTGAGTTTAGGTTCTATGCCAAGGCACAGGGAATACAAGAATAAATTTGACAGGATCCCTATCCTGGGAAAAGCTTTAGTTCTGGGCTACAGAGTCCCTGGGAGACAGAAGAGGAAAAGAAAGAGTGCCTTCGAAAGAGCTTTATCTTTCCTGTCAGGAGAGAGTGTGCAAGGCCTCAGTGAGAGAGATGACAGTGAGAGCATTCTACACAATCAACACTGCTTATTTGCTTGTTTTAACCGACTTTTCTCTCTTCCTGACCACAAATGCAATCTGAGATCAGAATTGACAAAACGGTGTCCCTTTGGACAACCCATGGATGTTTTCTCTGGCCCAGAAGTTTCAATGTCAAAATTTAAATTTCTAGCTTTTCCTGAAATTTTAAAAATTCTTCCCATAAAACAACATTTGGCTGAATTCAGATTTGTGACTATACATTTTAGGTGTAGAACTCACTCTCCACTCCTTCACAGGCTTTTGAGATTGACAGATTGCCACTTTTTTTTCACAACAATTGAGCTGTCTTTTCTTTTACCTGGCATATCTTGTTATTTATGTTACCTGCCCGGTGTGTAGATGAGTTTGTGGCACATATGATGCTGAAGAAGTGCCCATGAAACCATTTTCATACCGTCAGCACCATGGCTAATTCATAGTAGCGCCCCATTGTGTATCTGACCACATAGAAACACACGTGGGTCCTTAAATTAGAGTTGGAACTGCAGTCAAATCAACTCTGAATATATAAGGTTCTACAGCACAATGGAATGAAATGTGTTATAAGTAGAGAAAAACACCTGTTTTGTGCTGTCAAAACTCTCCCAGAGAACTTGCCAGTGCTGATCTGGGATTTCTCAATCACATTCATAATAGGAGAACCTATTCTTCTTTCTCTATGGGAACCTCTCTACATTTTTTTTTTTCATGTGGTGAATTCATTTTGTCATGGAGTGAACACCTGTGTGACTATTTAAAAACCACAACACCAGGTGTGCAAGTATGAGTGTCTCTCTCCTTTGTGCAATGCTCTTCTCACTGATTTCTCAGCAGGCTGGGCCAGGAAAAAGGCTTCAAACTGAATATAGAAAAAGGTCTTAAAGGATTTCTTAAAATATATCTATTACAAGCACATGCACTGAAAATACTGCAGTCAAGTTATACAAACAGTTCTCAGCCTTGTAAATTCCTTTTGTTTATACCATCATGTGAAAGTGTTCAGATCTCCAGATACACAGTTGCAAGCTTACTGTAAGAGAATTTTAGAAAACCTAGTAAACCCTAAAATCTGGAAGATATTATATTACAAAATATTTAAAATATTAAAACAAAGGAGATTTGTTTACCTTTTGCTTTGTCTCAGGCTTTCTATTCCTCTTTTCCAAGAAATAGTGGCCCTGGGGAAAGCATTCGGTTTGCATTCAATCACAATATCCCCACCAACTTGAACAACTGAATATTTTTTAAGAGGAGTTTTGGAGAAATCAGGAGCTGAAGCTAAAAACAAAATCACAGAATTATTCAATTACTCATCTAATCAACATGTGGTAACTGAAGAACTGATACAGTATCCTAGATAGAATCTAATATCTGTAAAAATAAAACAAAAAAAACCCCTCTTTTTGAAGCTACTTTGCTCAAGTTGTTTTGGAGCTAATTGTGGACTTGGCATTTTGGAGTCACTGTTTCCATTTGTAAAATGAAGATGGCAATAGATATTACCTCAGTCAGTTAGTCTGGGTCTTGACTGAGGTAACATTCAGTAAAGAAGGTTAAGTACCAAGTGGCACAAATTATTTGCTCAGTAAATGTAAATTATTTTTGTTTTGATAATGGTCATTGAGATAACAAAAGCAAGCTAGAGTGAGGGATGAAGCAAATTACAAAAGGCCACATTTTTTATAGTATTTATAATAAAGAAGGTGAAGATGGTTTCACGAGAGAGAGAGAGGGAGAGAGAGAGCACACACAATGAAATACCTCTTAAATAAATGAAAGCAGTATATTATTATTTCAGATCTCTTTAGGCATACCATTAACTGGAAAAATAGAAATAGTCTGCCTTCAGCTGAAGCAGGCAGGCTGAGTAGAAACTTTAACAACAACAACAGAGGAAAAAAACAAAAAAAAGTCTTTGTCAGTTTCAGCTCTGTCCTCACTAAATAAATCTTGAACAAATACCAGTTCATAAGGGTAATAAATAATTAGACAGCCTGGGGATACATCTAAGTCTTCCCAGCTGCCTGCCTGTGGGAACCTATGTGTCCAGTTCTCATTCCTAGCATAAAGTCTACATGAATTTCTTTCAGATATGCCATGTTGTCTTGTATGGCTTCTCTGCCCTTCCACTGACCTAACATACTTTTTCTTCTGATATCTGTTTAAAGAGAAGGTCTTCAATTTAGGTTATATTCAGCTGATAGCACCTACTCAATTCTTGACTGTAATAATCATGATATTTTAAAATTTAGCTTTTTTTCTCCCTCTGTAGAACTATAGGTTCTATAAAGATCACTTTGATATTGATAGTTCTGTTTGCAGGGTTTAATATGCAATAAATATTCAATAAATGATGATTGAATGAAGAAACAAATGAATCAGTGTCCATCACCCATAGACTTATGAAACTTTGCCATTTTACTTGATTCTTCCTCTCATCTCCTGTGTTTATACTGTTAAGGAAGTCTCAGGATGAAAGACATCACTGAGTCATTTATGGTGACAACTCCACTGGCTGAGTGTCCCAGAATATCATCCTCAAACTGCTTCTGTCTCAATATTTTCCACTATAGGGCCTTATTTCCCAGCTTCCCTTGAGGTCTGAGTGGTCACGTGACAAGGTTCTAGCTAATTACATATAAGGAGCTTGATGTAAGAACGCAGGGAAAGTTTGCTTTTCTAGCGATATGGGCTGTCCCCTCTCTCTTCTTCAGCTTTCAGTATGGACTTGATTTCTGTAGCTACAGCACTTATCCTGGATGCAGGAGGCTATAACCATGGTAATAAAGTTTACAGATCACCAAGTCACAGTGATCTTGCTCAGCTACCCCCCCCCACCCCCCACAAAGTTCTTGTGCATGTGTGCATGCTAAGTCACTAGTCATGCCCGACTCTTTGGGACCCCATGGACTGTAACCTACCAGGCTTCGCTTGTCTATGAGATTCTCCAGGCAAGAATCCTGGAGTGGGTTGCCATGCTCTCCTCTAGGGGCTCCTCCTGACCCTTGGATTGAACCCACATTGACAGAGAGATTCTTTAACACTGAGCCACCTAGAAAGCCTGAAGTTCTTGTGGAAATTACATCCCTGTTTAAGTCTGTAGATTAAGATTTTCTTTTCTTATTTGTAGCTGAAAACTTTCCTAATAGGTGCTTTTTGAGTTGTATTCAAAATCTCATGCTGATCAATTCTGGGGGAGCCACCTCTGGTTTGGTTTCGCCCAATAGTGGGTTCCTCCAAGCCCTGATGTGTTACCACATCACCCAAAGCAGAGTAATAATTCCCATTTTGCATACTTTGGAAGGTAATTTAGACATTTCTCATTATTTCAAGGAAAAGCAATTTCTAATTTACAGAAAAATTGGATCCATATTACATATAATCATAGCTTGCTAAAATGTCAGTTTGAATTTTTTGGCTATAAATGAATGACTTACCTAATACTCTCAATTCTGCATTTGCATAAATTATCTGATATTTGTTTTCTGCAGCACATTGGTAGATACCAGAATCTGACACATTCAGCATAGTTATGATGAGTGTCCCATTTTCTATTTGAATTCTTTCCTAATAAAAGAAAAGTCATATAAAGATGCTAGTGCATTAATGTAAGCATGCTGTTAACATTTGTGCATATCTATGAGCTGTTGCGTTATGAGCCCTGTTGCTTATGAAAATGAAATTAATATACTTCAATATCCCTGGCAGCTTTCTGGACTTTAAAAAACAATGGAAATGTTCTTAACATAATTTTAGTGGTTAGTTTATTTTATGTTACCTCGTTTCTTTGAAAATTGGCATTTTTCTGCAGAGAAGGTATGAGATGGTTGGATGGGATCACAGACTCAATGGACATGGAGGCCTGGTGTGCTGCGGTCCATGGAGTCTGAGTCAGACACAGCTGAGCGACTGAACTACCTTTCTGTTACGCGGTATATAGAATAATTTGGAATACTCTACCATTTCAGTTTTTTCAGAAGACATAGTCGACAATAATGTTACACATGGATAGAGTGACTAGCAAATTTCCATGGTTTTCCATCATAAAGTCTTAAAAAGTTAAAATACGATGACTCAATAATTTTCTAGTTGAGTACATAAGTTGAAGGAGCTAAATTCTTTTCTGCAGTGTACCATGAAGTATGCTTAAACATACTTAAACATGCAAAGTCTGTTACAGAGTCCCATTTTGGGTACAATTTTGAGTGTATAGAATAAAATAGTTTAATAGGGTAAATATAACTTTAAATATTTTATGTTACCTATCACCATCCTCTAAAGATAGTAAAAGTAGACTGTAGGACACAGGAAATGTTGTTTACAAAAGGGATGAAGGAATTAAATTCCAATAAAGCTGAAACAAAGAATAGCATTCTATTCAGGTTCTAAACAACAGATGTTCTTTGTTTCTCTAACTGAGCCTGAAAGTGCAAAGTAGAGTGGTGAGCTGACACAATTATTAGGATAATTTGATGGGGAAAATGAGCTTGTCTTATTTTCTATATATTGTAAAACATGCTTTAATTTGAAAAATGTGGATAACTGCCTCAGTTTTCCACTTTTCTGGATTTAGAGACAGCTATTAGCTTTCTTAAAAACCAAGTTTCTGGGTTATGACTGAGAGCTTGGGTTCTGAAATCAGACAGATTATGCTTAGAATATCAATGCTAACCTTTACTAGCTGCTTTGTGAACTTGGACAGATAGACTGAAGCCCTCTGAAAAAATTTTTTTCACTATGCAAATGATAATTATATCTTTCTTGTAAAATTGTCATGAGGATGCCATTAGATAATGTGTGGAAAATATTTAACATAGGGCCTGGCTCATATGAGAGTTCAATGGATGTTGTTGATGATACTGATATCATCTGAATATGGATCAATCACTTACTAAGTGCGACTTTGTACAAGTTATGTTCTCTACCCGTAGATTTCTCATTTGAATAATGGGAATGATTTTAATAGCCCCTTTGAGTTTAAGTATTACATAAATTAGGATATGTAAAGGTTATACTACATTTTCTGGCACCTACTAAACATTCCAGAAACATTAATTGTTGCTGTTAGTAATAAAATTTCCCTAGCAGAGTAGGTGGAAGTTTAATATCACCATAGCTACTTACCTCCGGATTGAGGCGTTCACCATTCTTTAACCAGGTGTACCAAGGGTCTGGCTTTCCACTGGCTTTGCATTCCCAAAATAAGCTGTCATAGATAGACAAGTATGTATTTTGGATTTTTTGTTCCCATTGTGGAGGGGCTGTTTCAAAAAGAGGCAAGAGCAACTATTTAGCAAATCAGTTAGCCAAAACATTATGCTGCATTCCAAGGACTATGGAAATCAGAAGGACAAAGTTAGCTGGGTCTAGTAATACTGCACTCCTGATTTGAGGGAGGGGAAATGCAGGACCCCCAAAGTGGGACAGTAGGAACTCTGTTGTAAATATCAGTGGACCTTTTGCGTAAGATTGATATTTGCCATCTATCACTTTGCTGCATCTGTATAACAATTTTGGAGCTGTGGGAACAAGGCTAAAGGATAATTCCATATTAGATATTAGTATATAGGTCAAGTTAGTAAACGTATATCAAATCTGAACCTTCTGTGGGCAAAAGGCCATTAAGTATATTTAGATTGAACTAACTAAAATAATTGTATCTATGTCCAATATAATTACAACTCAATAGTTTGAAGCTTAAATCACATATCAGCCTCATCACATTTTAGTAGGTTTTAATCAAGTTGTTTTTCCCTGTGTATAAGTCTTGCCAGGGAATGATAACTTTTAGAGTAGTATGTAGGTTAAGCATATAACTTTAATTCTAGGCATGAGTTTTCCAAACCTTATTTTCTAATCTGAGAAAGTTCAGCATAGTTCTGAAGCAAAAAAGCAACTGATATGATTGATGTTGAAATGCTATTTAAGTATAAGGTAGCATTATCCTTACTAACATTCATAGAAACAGGTGTGTATAAAATAAATTCTTTGAAATTATTATTTCTTCTATAATGATGATAGAAAACTCTCTGGATTTGCCATTTCATCCCTCTCCTTTGTTTAGGTCTGTTCTAGATATGTTGGAGTGGATGAGCTTCCTATATAATTGCACTTAATTCTCTCTCCAAATTTCTATAGAGGAATTTTTGTATAGGTGTTAGGTAACCTTAACAAGAAGTTGCTGTTCAGTTGCTAGGTTTTGTCTATCTCATGAGTCTCCAGCACTCCACATTTGCCTGTCCTTCACTAGCTCCCAGGGTTTACTCAAATTCATGTCCATTGAGTTGCTGATGCTATCTACTCATCTCATCCTCTGATGCCTTCTTCTCCTTTGCCTTCAGTCTTTCCCAGCTGACAACGAGACATAGTTAGAAAACAGAGAAGCCTGATTTTGTGCACAGGAAGTAGTCACATGTTTGTGTGTGTTTTAGTGCTGGCCAAGGGTAGGTTGTCAGGAAAAGGGAGAATCCACAGGGAAGGAGAGTCAATGCAAGAATGAGTTATTGAGTTGACCACCAAGTGGCGCTGGTGGTAAAGAACCCGCCTACCAAGGCAGGAGACCTGAGATGTCGGCTCAATCCCTGGGTTCGCAAGATTCCCTGGAGGAGGGCGTGGCAACCCACTCCAGTATTCTTGCCTGGAGAATCCCATGGACAGAGCCTGGTGGGTTAGGGTCCACAGGTTCACAAAGAGTCAGACACAACTGAGCACGCAGAGATGATTGTTACCCATCTTCTGTGAATGTATAAGGAATCTCTATGACTGCTTGCCCAGGAAAGAAAGAGGAAACATTTATTCACTGGCTCTTGTCCACAGTCATTCAAGGGCAGTGCAGGTATTAACTATTAGCACATTCAGGTTGTGTGTGCTTAAATTTTGAGTAGGTTCTGCTGCTGCTGCTGCTGCTAAGTCACTTCAGTCATATCTGAGTCTGTGTGATCCCATAGACAGCAGCCCACCAGGCTCCCCCGTCCCTGGGATTCTCCAGGCAAGAACACTGGAGTGGGTTGCCATTTCCTTCTCCAGTGCCTGAAAGTGAAAAGTGAAAGTGAAGTCGCTCAGCCGTGTCCGACTCTTCACGACCCCATGGACCGCAGCCCACCAGGCTCCTCCATCCATGGGGTTTTCCAGGCAAGAGTACTGGAGTGGGGTGCCACTGCCTTCTCAGTGAGTAGATTCTAGAAGGGGCCAAAGAAAACTGGGGCAGGAAACAAGATGGCCTGTTGTACCACCTGAGATAAGACTGTCAGGCTACATCTGCAAAATACGGCGGCAGAGGAGGTCACCGCAGCAGTGGTTGCGGTAAGTGGTACTGAGAGTCTTTGAAATGATGTACAAGTATATCTGACTTTCAAGGTTTTTCCACTGCAACATCTGCTTGCACTAAAAGAGAAGTTCCTTCCGGGAGCTAATCAAGGAAGAGGAATCATGATGTCTCATTGTGGTGAAAAGTAAGCCAAGATGAACTCCTGTGGAAATCAGGGCAACCTCCAGTTACGGAACACGCTTTTCACAACCTTGAGGGATAATGGGTGGCAACACTTAGAAGAACTGAGTGTATTGATTAAATTGAATCATGTTTCATTTAATATTTTAAAAATTTAAAATTTGTAGATACTTGTTTAGAAATTTCCCTATTATACATTTGATCTGGGAGAAAAAAAATGCACGCACACATAAAATCCACATAGCTTGCAAGAGTTTCAGATATATATATGGTTTGTTGCTTAGTGCAATAGCTGTAACCTTAAGCTTTATTTATTTTTTAACGTGTGCATTCTTTGGATGCTTAGGATTCCAAAGAATAAACTTTTAAATCTTCAACTACATGTGGTTCCAACTAAGTAGGAACTACCTGAAAAAAAAAAACCAACAAGCTTAATATTTCAAGTCTACCATATTATAGGCTTGGGTATTTTTATTTATTTCATACTCTCAGTGGTTGTGTAATTCACTTAACTCCTCTGAATATGCTCCATTATTTATAATGATAATCATACTTTATAAACCTATTTTGGAGTATCTGTGCTCATCATGTGCTCAATCACGTCCGACACTTTGTGACCCCACGGACTGTAGCCTGCCAGGCTACTCCGTCCATGGAATTTTCCAGGCAAGAATACTGGAGTGGGTTGCCAGATGAGGACCCAATATAAATGGATAGAATTCTGAATTATAACTTAAGCATACCAACATAATGGACTGAGAGACTCTTAACTTGAAATTTTCAGGTATTTTTCGATTTTCAGGTAATTGAATCAATTCTCTTCTTTGGAAATATGTGTGCATGTGTGTCTGCTGTGTTGCTTCAATTATGTCTGATTCTTTGCAACTCTAATGGACTGTAGCCCACCAGGCTTCTCTGTTGATGGGATTCTCCAGGCCAGAATATTGGAGTGTGTTGCCATGCCCTCCTCCAGGGGATCTTCCCTACTCAGAGATTGAATATGGGTCTCTTATATCTCCTGCATTGGCAGGCAGATTCTTTCCACTAGCACCACCTAGGAAGCCCTTTGGGAGCATATTGACAGCTAAATAGGTGAACAAGAAGCATTATTTTGTCTTAGTGACCAATTACCCATTATTCTCTCACAAAGACCATTTGTACTTCTTAAATAGCTAATTTGGTTGTGATAATAGGTCATGTGGGGCTTCCCTGGTAACTCAGTTGGAAAGAATCTGCCTCCACTGCAGGAGACCCTGCTTCGATTCCTGAGTTGGGAAGATCTGCTGGAGAAGGAACCTACTCCAGTATTCTTGGGCTTCCGTCATGGCTCAGCTGGTAAAGAATCCACCTGCAATGGGGGAGACCCAGGTTTGATCCCTGCTTTGGCAAGATCCCCTGGAGAAGGGAATGGCTACCCACTTGAGTATTCTGGCCTGGAGAATTCCATGAATTGTATAGTCCATGGGGTCGCTAAGAGTTGGACACAACTGAATGACTTTCACTTTCACTTGCATAGGTCTTGTGAATAGACTTAGATGACCAGGTTGAAGAGCTATGGGAGACTGGGCAGAATCTCGTTTCAGAAGATTGTTCAAGGTTCTAGTCTCAGATCTAGCAAACATTATTTGAGATCTTGTTCAATTCATCAAAGGTTAATTACCTATAATATCACTGAAAATTATTTCTACATTTTATTGCTATAAAAATTATGTGAATTAATATTTGTAGAAGCTTCTATGTAAGCTAGCAGTTGCTTTATCAATGTGGGAGAAAGTACTTTATTATTCATTTCCAGTTTATAGAGACCTCAATTTTATGGTTAATTTTTTTCTTATCTATATATTTGTCTGTTTAGTAGAAAAATGACATACCTATTAGTCAGAGCCTGTGTGATATTGTGCTGCTCCTAAAAAAACTCCCAGTTACATCCTCATAATTTATTTACAAAAGAATGCCAGACTCCAGAGACTTTGGATTAAAAAATAGGAGCTATCATTAGAACACGTGTATAAACTCAATTGACAGCTTCTAAAGTGGCTCAGTGGTAAAGAATCTGCCAGCCAATGGAGGAAATGCAAGAGAGAAGGGTTCAATCCCTGGATCAGGAAGACCCCATGAGGAGGAAATGGCAACCCACTCCGGTATTATTCCTGGAGAATGCCATGGACAGAGGAGCCAGGCAGGCTACTGTCCATGGGATTACAAAGAGCTGGACATGACTGGGTTACTGAGAACACATGTAGAGACTCAATAAGCATACCTTCTAGGTAATTACAATACCTTAGAACTTCTGTTATTGAAATATATAGTTTTCTTCCAGTTACTTTATTATTGATTATAAATGTGTCACATAGAAACATGTCACACAGAAAATGACTTTTGGCCATGTATAAATGCAGTTTTTAAAGTCCTCTAGTACAGCAGTATTAAATATATCTAAGTTAAGAGTATTTTAAAATCACCAAACATTTTGACAATCCTGAGGTATATTTTATTGCTTATTTGATGTCAAAAAAAAAAGTGTGTATTTTGGCCTGATTGAAAGAAGACACAAGGACAAACATTAGAAAATATATGTTTTTATTATCTCTCTTAAGTCCATGAGAGATTCTTATAGCTGAGACAAATGTATTTTTGAATGAAGTAATGAGTTCATTTTTCTCTTATCTACATATATGTAGACAATCCTGGGAAATATAAACAAGTACTGAAAACTACCATAAGTATTATGCTTCTCCAGTTACTTTCTCCTTCTTTTGTAATTTCTGCTTGGGATTATCATTAAGATTGCCACAGGCTGTTACTGAACATATCAAGGGAAATATATTGAATTCCATTTTACTTTGTGTTATAAACTTCTATGGCTTTTAACATGACACTGCTCATATTTCAAAGGAAATTATAATAAGCAATAACATGCATAGACTATGCTGAAATTAAAGCCATATTTTAAAAATGGTCATTCCCATCGGCTAATTATTGAATTAAGCATCCTTACCTGGAAATGTGTCTTCTCTATTTCTCCTATGACACTTGCCTACAACATGCTAAACACTTTCACTATTTACTATGAAGGATATCACCAAATATTTCATAGACTTTTTGAAATTCTGTTAGCTCACCATAGAAAATGAGTTGACCCTTTGCAAGGTTTCTTCCTCGAAGGTTACTTGCAATACACTCATAGAAGCCTTCATCTTCCTGTTGAAAGTTCGGGATTTCAAGGATAGCTTGGGATTTGCTGTATTTGACTTTCCCCGGCAATGGGCTTCCATCCAACCTCCTCCAACTAATATCAGGGACGGGACTAAACAGTTATACCTCATTAGAATAGAAAATGGTTTAGTCTTTATAACAGCAGGATAAAATAAGAATTCCTTAAGCTTAACTCTCAAGGGAAAATATTAGTCAGTCTACTACATTGTGAATAGTTTTCAGATTATGCAGTCATTCGCCATTCACTCATCCAGCAGTTTTAGTAGACTATTAAGTGCCTGCCATGAGCAAGTCACAGTAGTAAAATCAGGGAGTAAACTGATGACTAAACATGTTTTCTGTCCTCATGTTGCTCACAGACTAAGGGGGAAAACAGACAATAAACACAGTATAAAAATCAGATTTGAAAAGGAAAGAGGGTGCAGAGATAGTAACAGGATTGTGTCAATTTAAATATGAAGGTCAGGAAATTCTGTGAGGATGTGATATTTAAGAGGAGGCAATTTCTTTCTATATTTACAGATTCTAAGGCAAAAATTCAGATTCCTCTATAGCTAAATTGGTACTAATAGGTCCCTGAAGACATACATGACTTGGTGAGCTAGATTATAAAAGGAAATCAGTACTCTATAACAAACCCAAATGAACTGGGAGTATAGGATCCGCTATCCTCAAAAGAATGTATTATTTACCCACATTTATTTTTAATGACATAAAAAAAAATCTTTGTATTTTACTTTGTCTCTTTTCAGAAAGAATGTGTAAACAATTCCTTTATTATAGGAATTTAGCTTAATATCTTATATGTAATATATTTTGTCTAATATGATTACCTTTTTAAGCAACAAAAAAATGCATTTTATAATATATGAATCTAAGTGTCAAACAATAGAGATGAATTTAGAAATTCATGGTGAGGAAGGCCTTACTTGTACAGATATAATAGAATGTAATGAAAATGTAGGCTATAAATAAAGTTCTAACCAGAAAATATTCCCTAATAAACTAATCATTTGAAAAATCAACCCAAATCAATAAGCACTAACATCTTTCCTTTCTTATTTTCAAGTAATTTTTCATTCCCTTATAGATTTTCAGGTGCTTAAATAATTTCTGTTCTAAATGTTTTCAGCTTAATAATAGTAAATCATTTTGCAAAATCAAATTATAAACTTTGTAGAAGATGCTGGACTTTTTCTAAGTCCACAAAAATAATGTAGGAGAACCACTCAGTCATATACCAAGTGGTTGACAAATAAAGATCTATAGAATCTGAACTGTAACAACTACAGATAATTGGTGATGATTCAGTAGAGGCTTCAAATAAAGCAGGAAAATTGTGGAAGCCTCAAGAATTTTTCATTGGCCAACAGTGAGGAAACTAATGTGTGAATCAAAGATAAACACGGTGTCAAAAGTCATAAATGTGCTCACAGATATTTCACAGAAAGTATACTCACCAATCAGTGTTTGATTTGTCTATTTTTCTCAGGATTAGCATACAGTGACAAATACAACTTGAATTTTAATTAAATACGAAAATCATTATTTTAATAAGTTTTGTTTTTGTCCTTTGAAAAAGCCTTGACACTGTAACTTTAGGTTGATATTTTAGTAAAACAGCATATTCCTGCGAACAAGTAACCTCAGGTAGCTAGTTTTCTTATTCATTCATTTTATTAAATACAAAACTACAAGCTCTAAATAATTATTCTAAAACAAAGTTCTAAAAGAAAGTTTATTCACTGATAAAGATCTTCACCAAGTCTGAGGCACTGTTATCCAATTTTTAAAAATACATGCAGTGTGTTTGTGAACATGAAAATTTAGTATCTACAGGTGGTGAGGATATATATTTTCCTTTTTCTGTTTATCTCAATTTTTCCATTATTTTTCTACAGTAAGCATGTATTACTCTTGTAATAGAAAAATTCTAAGAAAATTTATTTACAAAGAGAAAAATAAAGGCTCTGGTATTTATCTGAATCCATGATTCTTTATCTTTTTATGATAGTGTATATCTGAGGTTTATGTGAAATACATGTAAAACATTCAACTAGAAAACGTTTTAACCTAAAACATTCAGAAAAAAAATCAGTAAAGATTTTCTCATTGCTATATTATGTTCTTTATTTTAACTGTGAAGACAGGAGTCAATATTTAACCTAACTATTTATCTAAATCTCTGAACCAATAATTGAACAGTATACTTTAATTACAATACCAACTGTAAGGGACCTTTAAATACATCTCAGTATGATACTTCTATATAGCCATTAGACACACATAAAAATGATATTCTGTGAAAGTGAACATTAATGGCATGTAAGACCAAAAACTGAGCAGTATAATCCTTGTGAAAAATCATGACTGTGAAATATATTTTAAGAACAATGCTCTATAGGGTCAAAATTATACTAGAAGGCAAAAAAATGTAAAAGAGACATGAGACTGAAGAGATATTTAAGCTTCTCACTTAAAGAACATCCTTTAGATAGATGCTTATTTTTCTTACCTCAGTCATGTTTAGAATGATACAACTTGTCTAATAAACCACTCAACTATGGAGAAAGTTGTAAGTTTCACTGTACTGTTTTTCTAGCGTAAGAGCTTCCAGTTTTGAAGTAGGATTTAAGAATTAGACTCCTGTATTCTCAGTCTGCATTGGACATGTGTTTGCTTTTGTGTGTGCATTTTTATTTTCTTTGGAAAACCCAGTGCTTCCTATCTTTAGTCCATCTGATTTGAATTGGATGGACTGCACCTCTGGGGACTTCCCAGGTGGCTCAGTAGTAATGAGTCTGCCTGTCAATGCAGGAGACATGGATTTTATTTCTGGATTGGGAAGATCCCCTGGAATAGGAAATGGCAACCCACCCCAGGATTCTTGGCTAGAAAATTCTATCAACAGAGGAGCCTGACAGGTTGTACAGTCTATGGGATTGCAGAGTCAGACACAGCTAAGCATGCATGCATGCACATCTGGATGCAGGAGTGAGCACAAGACTCAGGTTTTACCATTAGAAATTGGTGTATTGTGGCCACCATGGTGGGTCAACTATGGTAACTAAGACAACACAATCAGAAACAATTAGATCAATTCTGGGACTGCCTTTGAAAGAGCTATTAAAGACAGGATCTTTTGTCACTAGGTTTTCTCAGATGTTAAGATATATACTTGGCACTTCTAGGCAACAATTTCCAATGAAATGGAGACACTGTGTTTGAAAACCAAAGTTAACACAAAGAAAGGTAACTTGGTATTCTTCACACGCCTATATTAAATCATGTCAGTGCCCCCCAAAATAAATAAATAAATAAATAAATACAAACCTCAAATATACTGTTAGTTAATAGTCATTTTTTGCCTTATGCCTGTTTGAGTAGTTTTCCTGCTATTTTCATTTTAAAAAAGACTTGAGAAATAGGCTGAATGCCTGGGTTAAAAAGCTGTTAAGATATTTTCTATCTGTGTGATTGAATTGTATGACATGATATTAGTAGATTTATTTAGGATATTATATTTTATGCTCTGGATATTTTAGAATTCTCAAAGCAACTAAACTATCAAAAATAGTCACTCAAACATTTTTTTTTAATTGAGTCTTATCAAGTGCATTTTATGGCTGCATTTCATGTTAAAATTTCTAATGGGAGAAAAATCAAATTTTATATGATTTTGCAGATACTAATTGAATGTTAAGGTTTTTTTTTCAGATTTGTTATGTCACTACAAAATATGAATGTCAGGAGCCTCTTGATTACTACTGGTCATGTGAGCTATAGAGTCAGGGAGAATAAGTGTAAAGCATAGATTACATAAAAATGCACATTCATTTTAATGAAAAGTTCCCATTTAGTCTGGGCACGTCTTATGAAGACAGTAAATGATGTAAATGATGTAGATTTTAAAAGAATGAACCATGTGACAGTTGTGACTTACGTTTTACTGGTACAAAATAAGGATTATAGCCAGGGAGACAGCATGTCTCTGAGAAACTCTTCCAAAGAAGTAGGGGGAAAAATCAGTATATATGTGATTTTGGTGAAGGGAGAGCATGTTCAGTAAAGCACATATTTTTTGCAAAAGACTTCTGCTAGTCATGAGGAGCAGTCATCATCATGATGAATTTTAGGGCTTTTCTAGATAACAGAGAATATAAGAACTGGGCTCATAAAACCAGCTCCTGAAAATATCTAACTATCTGAAGACCTGCTGTGCCAGTTTTTCCCAGAGCACAGGTTACCTCATTTCTGCTCTCTACCCTGAACTCCTTTCAGGGGATGTTGAAAGTCAGTAGCTACAACAACACATTGTTTAATCCTTGTAAAGGTAGATGGCAAGTGCCAAAGGCAAGTGCCGATTAGTAGTTGACAATTAATTGCTTTAGATTTCACACCCTCTCTCTTTTCTGAAGCCATCCCAAGTGGACAGTGTGTGGGAAGAACTAAAGTCAGCAAAAGATGAAATTATATTAGTAGTGAGTTCAATTTCAAATGTAAGCTAAATTTTCCAAGATATACCATTCTATGTAAGCAATGAAATACTAATACTGGTACTAATTTTAATAACACAGCTATTAGAATACTATATATAGAGTACAGAGCAGAGTGCAGTTCTTAAACTTACCAGCTATGTTTTATTGTACATTTATAACGTAAATTTTCTCATTTATAGAATAGGGCTTGCTGTGCTGTGCTTAGTCACTCAGTCATGTCCGACTCTTTGCAACCCCATGGACTGTAGCCCCCCAGACTCCTGTGTCCATGGGGATTCTCTAGGCCAGAATACTGGAGTGGGTTGCCATGCCCCCCTCCAGGGGATCTTCCCAACCCAGAGATCAAACCCAGGTCTCCCACACTGCAGGCAGATTCTTTACCATCTGAGCCGCCAGGGAAGCCCAAGAATACAGGGTGGGTAGCCTATCCCTTCTCCAGGGGATCTTCCCAACCAGGAATTTAACCAGGATCTCCTGCTTTGCAGGTAGAATCTTTACCTGCTGAGCTACCCAGGAAGCCGAGAATAGGGCTTAATACTAGTATATACTTCCCAGGATTATAGTGAAGATTAAATGGTATTAATATAATACA